TGTTTTTACTTTGTTATCGTCTTGAAGACGCTGACCACCCATGTGTTTCTTCAAGTGCAGGAACAAATGGTAGTCGCTGGGCGCCAGATCAGGCTGTCTGGAGGATGATCTAGAGTTTCCCATTTAAATGATTTGATGAGATCTTTGGTCTGATTAGCCACATGTGGACGGGCATTGTCATGCAGCAAAACCTTTACTCAACTTGCCACGTCTTTTGTTCTAGATTGCACGAAGCAGATTTTTCAATGTCTCACAATAAGACGCTGCATTGATTGTCTCATTACGAGGCAGAAACTCCACTAGCAATACTCCTTTTCTGTCTCAAAAAACTGAGCACATGATTTTCCGGGCAGAAATTTTTGCTTAAACTTCACTTTTTTGGTTGATGATGAATGTCACCATTCCATGGACTGTTGTTTCGATTCTGGTGTGACGTAGGCCACCCACGTTTCGTCACCAGTAACAATTTGGTCTAAAAAATCTTCACCTTCACTGTGGTACCGCTCAAGGAAAGTCAATAGTAATTTGATAGTTTGAAGTCATAGTAAATTAATATTAAAAATTAGATTCAATTGAAACGAGAGAATAAAAAGACAACTACGTAGGGTTAGGAAAATACAGACCCACATGTATACGAGGTCTGGCTATTAAATAACGAGACTGCGCGCGCAGAAGGCGTCCTAGAGGGATAGGGTGGGAAACGAATGCAGCGTTGGATAGCTGGAAGTGTGTCTACTCTTTCAGTACGAAAACACGTTTTTGTCGCTGTAGTAGTATTTTTTCTGTAGAGGTTAAAAACGAACGTGTTTTTTTTTCGTGCCGATAACAATGTGTGACGAAAAACTCGAGCAACGGATCAATGTGAAATTTCTCGTTAAATTAAAAAAAAAACTCCGACTGAGTGCTATAAGTTGTTGAAAGAGGCCTATGGTGAGAATTCTCCATCTCGTGCGCGTGTTTTCGAATGGTATAAAAGGTTTTCTGAAGGTAGAGAGAGCACCGAGGATGACCAACGTCCAGGTCGACCTGTCTCTGTTTCAACTCCGCAAATAGTGACCAAAATAAATGAAATTGTGCGTGTAGATCGTCGTATGAGTATTCGGATGATTGCTGAGACTGTAAACGCCAATAAAGAAACTTTAAGAAAAAATTTACATCACGAATTGAACATGAAGAAAGTCTGTGCGAAGTTGGTCCCAAAAAATTTGACCCCTGACCAAAAGCTCGTCCGTCAACAGATCTGCTCAGATTTTCTTCAGCGGTTAGAAGAAGTGCCTGAATTGATGGAAAACATCATCACTTGCGATGAAACCTGGATATTCCAATACGATGTTGAAACTAAGCGGCAATACATGCACTGGAAAACTCCTGCATCGCCGAGAATGAAAAAAGCAAGGGTGTCGAAATCAAAATTTAAAGCCATGCTAATCGTTTTTTTCGACATCAACGGCATCGTGATGACTGAATGGGTTCCAGAGGGTCAAACTGTAAACCAAACTTACTATTTGAAAGTTTTGGCAACGCCCCGAGAGCGAGTTCGTAAGAAACGGCCGGAGTTGTGGAAAAACAAATCGTGGATCTTGCACCAGGACAATGCACCTGCCCATAACACGCTGTCTGTGAAGCGTTATTTAGCCGCTAGAGGCACTCCAGTGCTCGAACACGCGCCGTACTCGCCTGATTTAGCACCCTGTGAATTTTCCTGTTTCCGAAGATCAAGTCTGCCTTAAAAGGAACCCGGTTCGAGTCGATGGAAGAGGTGAAGCGAAAATCGGCGGAGCTCCTAAATGCTCTTACAAAAGAAGACTTCCAGCATTGCTTTGACCAATGGAAAAAACGAATGTAACGGTGTGTGGCGAGGGAAGGGGAGTATATCGAAGGGGAACATTCGATTGTAGAATAATTTTTAAAATAAAACTCTTTTTCATAATCAGTCTCGTTATTTAATAGCCAGACCTCGTATATTACACACAATAACACGCTTCATATGTAGATGCTTCATGTCATATTTTTTCTACATCTTTCTCTTCACCTGTGACTGCCCCTGGGGTCCACATGGGTACGCTATATTTTCAAGCCTCTCACATCTTATCGTTTTTAAATGGAGGGTATATTTTTATTTAATAAAAATGCATTAATTTTTTTGTCGTATTTGTTCTGAGATTTAATAGGTTTATTCTTTTAATACCCACGGGGTCCATATAGATACGGGGTAAATTCAATATTTAGCATTGTCAAATTTTTTTTTGATATTTTTTTAGCGTTTTCTAAACCATTTTTAGTAGTTTTTGAAGCAAACGCAAATATACACAAAAAAATAATTAATGGCGTTGCCAGGTTAATAAATTTCCTAGAGTATTATAGTGTTTAAACTTTCCTAAGCCATCCTCATCCTAATTAAAATATTCATTTCACTTCGTTTATTAGGTAATATAATGAATCATTGTTTGAAGGTTTCACATTGCATTTCCATGACGCTGTGTAGAAAAATGTTTCGGTTATCGCTAATGCCAGGCAAGGAAACATTCCAGTTATATGTATTTACATCCTAGTGATATGTTTCTATTATCGATCGTAGGTATGTTAACTTGTTATACATATTGTTGTTATTTATACACATTGTACCTTCTCGTTTGCTGTGATTTTGCTATGAACTTTTATACGTTAGCCTTTCAACTCTTCAAGACAAGATATGTTTTCTTTTATTGTTAATGTTATTATCTATCTTTCGAATAAACAAACATTTACAATATTATTTTTATCCCTGTTAAAAAGAGAATAACTGATTTTATTTATAACGAAAATCTTTTCTTTTATCGCTGTACTATTTATTGACCTTCTTTAGATTGTACATCAAAACTCGATCTAGAGCGGTGCTCCAGCATTTCCTTTCTATTTGAGCCATTGAAATCCAATTTAAAATTCATGTTCTCCTTACAAGGTTGCTAGAAATCTGCAGTCGGAAGAGCAATTTCAGATTTTTTATTAAAATATAAGCAGAGGGAAATTTTATTGGATACGTATATACTTGTAGCAGATTTTTTAAATAGATGTTTCGTTAATGTTTAAAAACGTTTATGTTTTAAAGTCGTTTAATTAAATAATTTCTATTGTGGTGAAATTTATATTTCCTGTGATTACTTTCTTCATATCATAGATTTGTAAGGGACCATAGTAGTCGATAAAACGCACTAGATTATATCTCTATATTTAGTATTCCTTTATTGAAACAGCAAGATTTATATCTTTTTCAAATTGGGTCTTGATATTATGGAATCGTTTCACACCTGTGGATTGTTTGATCAAAATATTTTCCCGCAAATTCTAATCTTGCTGCTTTCTCTGGCGATCTTTTTCTTGTTGTACGACACTGCTTCTTCTTCCAAAATGCATGTTGCCTATCACGTTGGTCGGTATAATCCTTTTGAACACTGATTCCACAGAATCGTACTCGTCATCCGGTTTATTGCATAATATGCTTGCAAGCGTAAAGTCATAAGTCTAATTTTCAGTATCATGTGCAGGATCTTCTTCCATGTTGTTCGTGTGTTTAACCTTGCATGTGTGTCTTTCATTTCTTTCTGTTTCTATTTTTTCAGTAGTATTTTGATTTTTGATATTTCTGATCTTGTTTATGCATTACACTATACCTCAAAAGTTATTTAATTATTGTGTAAGTCTTTGAATACCGTTTTTCTTTACTAGATTGTCTTCAGTCTGCGCTACTTCATAGCGCAGACGTTCTCCTAGTATCTTTTGCAATATTTAAGGTATAAAGAATATAGACTATCGACCTATCTACCATCTGCTGCTACTCTTACTACACACCTTCAAGCTTTATTTTTCACAAGCAAAAGTTGTCAGCATCGAATTCATATAGGAAAATACAATAATGCCCGAAACATTCGTATCACATTGATTGACGACTAAGCTGTAATCTTAAATTTACTTAATCTTAAACGAAAATTTTTCAATATTTAAAAAGAGAGATTTTCCAAAATTTGTAACATAAATAAAAGATTTTCTACAGGGAATTATTATGCAAATTACCCAGTATCTCGGGTTGATTTCGATAAACTTTCAACAAACGAAAACAGAACGGGAAGAAGGTCTTAATTTTCAAGAAACCTCGCCCAATTTACAAAGTTATTTCGTCGTCGTCTTGACTACTTTATCCGGAAAATTCATTCAAATAAAGAGCTTCGAGCTTTTCAAATTAGTACTATATTAATCCTGTTTAACTTTGTTAAGGAATTCCTTTTTCATGGATTGAGAGCTCTATCGGAGGAAGATTCACCCTCCCTTTGAATCGCTCATTTACATAATTCTCAATGGCCTAAATGGGCGCGTGTGTAGTTGTTTGTAAAATGTGACGAACTCAAAATTACATATTAGAGCAGAAAAAAAACAATGTAATTAATTGTAGAGAACATTTTTCTTAAATTGTTACCTTGATTGAGAATTGGTTGCAATCAAAGGTGTGGAAGACAAAGGGCGAAAACTGCTATTGATTATAGTTTTCCTGTGCTTTTAAGAGATCGCCATTTAAAGTATGTTCCATTTTTACGTTCCCTTAATGTGCAAGTGTATTTAAATAAGTCAGACGACAGGTAGCAGGAGACTCGCAAAAAATCTTTTAATCTGGAGGAGGCGTGCCAAAGAACCAACATTTAGACGTAGTCTTCAAAGAGCTCTTCTGCAGTTTGATCATGTGATGGTAGAGGAGAGAAGAGAGAGCACGATATTGATTTCACAACTTCTAAAACGGATTTCTTTCAAGGTATCATGGATGGACAGGTATTTTTCTACGAAAACTCCTCCTATATGTGAAACATACCGAGAATTAATAATACAGACTAATCTTAGACAAGAATCCGTCACCGGAGCAAAAAGACACAAAATAAATCTTACCAGCTAAGTTTCGATGAAATGGTAGAGTATGAGTAATGAGTTTTACTAAATCTAGGACTAAAAGTAAGTCTAGTCTAAATTTTACTTACCGCTTCCAATTTGGGTACTACGTCTTGGACGATGTTGCAGACGGAGTCCAAGTCTGAAGATAGCGTTAAAATCCTGTAAAATGATTACTTTTAATATCGGTTGGATGTTTTCCGAAAAGGAGGGACGGATCCTCATATATACCAAAGCTCCAAACTTATTGATTCTACTGTACATCTTAAGCTAACAATTACTTTGTTTTGACTGTTGATGTTTCGATAATGCAATTTTGAGCAAATATAACAAGTGACCGAGCTTTATTGTAACCGTCCTAGTAGCAAATACTTGTTATAGTTCCGTTGTGTAGTCTATTAGATAAGTATATTGTTTTTGGAGAAGAAAAAATATTTCAGAAAAGTAGCCGTTTTTGGCTATGCATCAATTTTGGAGTTACCACCTAACCACCCATCTATCATTTTCCAATTTTCCTAGCAGTTCTAGGTAATACACTAGTTGGTAATACACTACCAGTATCACAAAATCTCTCACCAATATAGTTTTTGAGAACCATATTGATGCAAGCAACGCGTGACAAATCCAACTGGCGGCAACAACTCCTAAGTAGTGTAGGGGCCTTTTGCAGAGGTTCACACTTCACACTTTGGTACTGCTTATTTAGATAGATACTGTTTTTTTTTATACAGTCAGCATGAACATGAAAATAATCTTTTTAATTAATAGTGCAATTCTTAATACTATATCTAAATCATTTTCTTTATTACTTTATCAATCTGCTATTCTATGGCATACGGCCACTCCTTTTTGTTTCATTTTAACTGTCATAGAAAATCATGCTACTTCAAAAGAATATCAAGTGACATCCATACCAGGGCTACTAACAATTTTCCTATTAAATACTGATGACCTTTGTTGTTGAATCTATTTGTTTTTAGTATCAGTAAGTTTGCAACTTCAATATACAGTTTCGTAAGCTGTTTATTTTAATCGATGTGTAGAAAGTAGTGATGTAACGAATATTCGCATTCGCATTCGCATTCGCGAATATTCGCATATTTTTACATATTCGCATTTGCATTCGCATTCGCAAAATTTGTGCGAATGTTTTGCGAATATTACACAGCTTGTATTTAGCTCGTTCAGTATCGAAAAGTGAAAAATAAGTCCATATTTCACTATAATTTGATTTACTCATAGTAATAAATCGCTAATCACACTTTAACTAAAAATTCACTTGTATTTGTGCACGAGCAGAGCAGGGCAAGTGGAGTGACTTGTGTCCCGTGAAATTTTTATTGGAACTATAACCAGAGAACTTAGTTTTCTGCTATAACTTTCTCTCTATAACAAGTCAAATTTGATTATAACAAGAGAAAATAAGATCGAAAAACGTGCTTTCTACGTTTTTGGGCCGGACGTGACTATAAATAAATACCTTTTTAAACGACCCCTCAATAAACTTAACCGCCTACAATAAACTTCTTTACAATAAATACAACTGTTTCACATCTTTACTTTAGCAAATATGATAGAATGATACTGGACAATTTAAAGCAGTTAAAAATGACAGACTTTTTCCAATTGCCTACACACCTCGCGCAAATGAGACTGCCGGCAGTGCCGGATACAATTAAAATTGCCAAATTAAAAAAAAACTGAATATTCGCATTCGCATTCGCATTCGCGAATGTCGGTGGCATATATTCGCATTCGCATTCGCGAATGTTTAAAAAATGACATTTGTTACATCACTAGTAGAAAGTAAGGGTGTGACCAAATAAAGGACACTTAATACTCAAAGATTATAGGAATTATGTATATATAGGGTGCACCCAAACAGATTTTACCACTTCTAGCTAGTTTCCCTCATGAAAAAAAAAGTGGGTAGAAATTTATTCAAATCAATATAATGTTTGCTTGAAATTAAAAGAGTTTATGTAAAAAAATATAGTGAAAAGTATAACACAAGGAAAACAGTGAATATGAGGTCTAATTTACAATGATACCATTAAAAATAACTAAGACAGTTGATGGTAGAAAATACGCGTGAGATAGCAAACTACTTGATTTCATACATGAAAGTGGTTAAATCATTCTCGCTTGTGAAATTTTAAACATTTGCCATTTATTAGAAGTCTTACATACAAGAATTTCGGTTCCAGTTAAGTAGGGATTTTTTTGTCTCTCTTCATGCTTGTGTTGTTTATTCTGGGGTTAAATTTTATATTCCACATAGGTTTTCTGCGCGTGTATTACGTATGAACTCAAAATTAAAATGTTAATTTGAGGATTGTTCTCCGCATTCGCGCAATGTGTGAGCTCCTGGTTTATCTTACCAGATGCTCTACTATTTTATGCATACTGGCAAATTGTGGCTATATTAACTGATTTGGAGTCGAATTTAAATCGAGTGGCAGAAAATTCTAACACATACACAAACAAATTATTTATATTTTAATACAACTAATTTATATTTTCTAATTCTTTCAAATATTTCACTTTTTCATATCCTTCGCTTATATTTTGGTGTGCGGTTGTTTATTTTTGAATCCATGTTTTGTGTAGTAATATTTGTCTACGATACTTTAAAGGATACATGATCCTTTGGGTTACAAGCACAAAATTTGTCAATAAGTACCTTACGAACTTTTAACATTGAAATGACTAAGTTTCGTGTTTTTATTGTTGTGGTTTTGGATTAGTTATAGCCAAATATATCTTGATCCCCTCTGACCACACTAAGCACTATTTTATTGGGATAACGTGTAGGTGATTTTTTTGGATGGCATATATTAGTATAAAATTTAGTAACCTGTAAGGAAAGATTAGCACAGAATTATATAAATAAAAGAAGCTTTACCATCGTAAGGCGTCACTCAATTTGAAAAATTTGAAAGAAAATTTTACCGCTAATAATGAATAATGGCATTTAATAATATAAAAGAATTTATTAGTACACTTAGACGTGAAGTGACAACTAGAATCAAGTCCAAATTGAGTGACGTATTTTCTGTATGATTTGAAGACTAGTTAAGGGAACCTGTATGGCCGCCTAGCAGACATTCCGGCATTATTACTGGTTGCACCACGGTTTGGAGAGATCGAAGTTTATTTATAAGTAAGCAAACAGAATTGTTAAACTATAGATTATTTTTTATTAATAAAAAACTATGGGTACCGCTGATTTTATCAAAATGGTTATCTATTTATATACAAATTAGCAAAGCAATAAGTAATTACCTGTCTAGCTTTTCTAAAAGATAGCTGGCATTAATTCTGATGGATTCAGATATCTACATTTATTCGGTGTTCAGAGAGAGTTATAAAATTAATTATGTATGAAAAACGCTTACAAAGTGGTCAAATACGTTTATATATACACATGGAAATTCGACGCAAGCTACTTTATTTGGTTTCCTCACACATGGGCTTATATATTATTGATATTGGTTGGTAGACATAGCCGTTGCATTCTACTCAGATGAAGACTGTCTCTAAGCTATGAACGAAATAAAAGAAATAATTTGAGATTATTAGCGCAATCTTTTTATTTCTGGCATATGTATCAAATATTTTATATGTTATTGAAGGTAGATACTATCGCCGTCTAGAATTCTAAAAAATTACACATGTTTAACATTTTTTTTGTACCTTATCTAATGGCAATAAAACTGTTTTTAGGTTATACAACTTGTTCCTGTATTTTAAAGATCGCGATAAAGTTTTTCATCCAAAAATTAAGGGTTTTAAAAAAGAAGTGCCCTTACGTGACAGTTTACCATAAAAATAGAAAATTCTTGAAAAAAAAAAACAAAATGGCGAATTTGAAAAAAAATTGATCAAAAATTGACCTTTTTTCGACGTTTTTCAGTCAAATTTTTTTTTTTTTTTGATCAAATTATGGTACACTATTATAGAGAAAATCGAAACAAATAAAATGCATCAAGGTTTATTAGAATCGACCGAATAGATCCAAAGATTAACTGCCCGTCGACTGATGGTCGATTTTAATAAACCTTGATGCAAATTGTCTCTTTTGTTTTTCTCTAGTTTACTAAAATGACCAAATTGACCAAAAAAAATAAATTTTTGAAAAAAAAATGTATAAATGGTTTAATGTATAAAATATTATTATTAATGTGTAATGTTTTTTGCCGTTTCAGAGTAATTTTTGGGCGAACAATTGTTGGCGCCATCTTTAAAATACCCAAACAATAAAAAACCAGAAAATTTTTTCCTTTAATTTGTATAACTAATTAGATACAAAAAATTGTTGAAAATGTGTCTTTTTTAGCATTATAGACGGTACTAGTTATCGAAGTGCTTGTTCATAATATTTCTGGACATCTCCCATTTTATTTTATTTTTCCTTACACGAACTAGTTTCAGCCTATATGCGCTCATATTAGGTTCAGTTTAGTTAGCAGTGACAAGGATGAAGTCGAAATATTCTGTATTTGACCGTTTCGTCAATAACGTATTTTAAAAACCTATTTTGAGGATGACACTGATGATGGAAGAATTAATACCTGCCTGGCAGAGTGGTAATTATGTTCATAATTTCTGAGTAGGGAAAAGAATTCAGAAATTTAATTTCTGAAATTAAAAATCTATTATTGCCGTTTTATCATAGTTTCTGCGATTTGCATAACACATGAGGATAGCAGTAAGTTTATTACTCTTTCTTATTCTTCAAATAGTTTTACAGTATTTCCAATTAAAAATTGTGATAATCTAAAATAAATACCTAGTTGAAATATTTTTTAACCATATGAATATAATCTTTTGTAGTGCTCATATTTAATGATGATTATGGTGATTAGTCTAATTTATTTTTGTATATTAGTATAATGATATTTATTTAATACAGCAGTTCCCATAAAATTTTACAAAGCACAGAATAAATAGTTTATGACACTGTGCTGATTAGAAATTGTTCCATCATTTGTTAGCGTTTACCATACAAAAATAGTGTTCATCTGCGCTATTGACTAATTAAATGGCTGCATAGGTTATTTCTGTTGTATTGGATAGCATATTGTTGAATCTCAATAAAAGTTTTACAAATGAAGGAACAGCAAATTGTATGTATAAAATTAGCTTAAAGGCGGCCTAATATGCAGTGCAACCAGGGCCGGGGTGAGCACAACTAAAAAGAGATGTTGATTTAAAGTGTTTACCGTTCGGGGCCTGGGTAATCAGGGAGAGTAATGGATGCTTTGTACTGTAGTTGGTGGTTGTAGATCACGGCAAAATGGTGGAATCAGCGAGTCGGGCACAGGGTGGACATCACGGCCAAGGACAGAAGACATTAGTTAACTTTTATAGGCTGGTGGAAGAGTGCTTAGACATGTATCTACCACCATGTTTTTGATAAACGCACACAAGCATTCCTCCCGTTAGTGGCCTCTTCTTTAAGGGAATTTCAAAATGGATTCAAGTCTTCGAATGGCAGGGCTATTTTAATTCGACAGCGTATGTGCGATTTGTCAAATGCATGTCGGTGGTAAATCCATGAAGCACTCTAATGCTGTAATAAAATTGGGGCGAGTACTGACAAATAGTACTTGGGTACTCTTAGTTTTATGAGCATGTCAAGAGAAAGGGTCTTAACTATTAGTAACTAAAACAAAAAAACGAATGGTCATCAAATAATCAAGCTGTAGAGAAAGCAGATTTTAAAAAATGAGAAAATTCATATAGTTAATGTTTTCCGATAGTTAATACAATTTAATTTGATAAATCATTAAAATCTAATGTTTTCTTAAATTCTCACAAAATTTATTTACTCATTTATGTTAGCAGTTCCAGTAGCACTGCCTTCATAGTACGTACATACTTCATAGTAGAAATACTTCCAAGATGTGTACGCTTATTTATGGGTTGATAGGAGTACAAAAGTGTGTCTGGTTCAGCCATCTCGGACTTTTAATTTATCAATTTCTAAACAAGCTTTGGTTAAAATAAGTACTCATATTTTGCAGGATTAGCATACACAAGGACTATAATATCTCCAAGATAGTTAAATCAAAGTAGAGGATGTCTTCAAAGACACTGTATTGGTTGGAAACAAGGTAGTAAAATATATGGACATTACTAAAATTAATTTGCTACATTATTAAAATTGTTGTAATTCAGATAGCTTATACAAGAGCATATCTAAAAAAAGACGCTTTTAGAATTAAATAGATAAAAAATATGGTCTGAAGAGTGCCTCAAACAGCCAGCCAAACTGCACTTGAAAGTTCTTGTGAGTTAGTAACAGCTAAAACTTATCTGTACCTTAAGCAACTAGAGAGGCAGTTATTTTGTTATGGCTGCCAGGGCATGAAACAATTACTGATAACAAAATTGCTAAGGGTATTTGCTAAAAAAAAGAACTACCACTTATTTTATTGGACTAGAACCATTCTGGCACAACAGAAACTCATAATAGCCTGGCAACCTAAAACCAAGCAGAAGGGCAAACACAACTTTTGCTTGATACGCAAAAATACTATTATATAGCTCAATAATAATCATAAGTGTTCTCATCGGCACTCCTCAGATATCATCTCTGGTAAAATCAGAAAAATGCACATAGCAACTTGATAATTCTGCAAAAATGCAGAAGAAACGGTCGAATATATTGTTTGCTACTGCAGTGAAATTGTGAAGCAATATCATAGCTAGAACACGTCTTTTTAGAACTGGATTAGATTATAAGCTCTATTAGATGCTATTGATACGGACTAATGGAAAAATAACGGAAGGAATATGTTTAAGATGGATAAAATAGGAATCGAAAGATAAACAGATAGATAGGTAGAATTAATGTAGGTAGTTAACGTGACCTGAGTATATGCAGTCTGTCTTTATGTTCAAATATTTTCTTCTGGTTCTTAAACATTCTGTAGATTGGCTAATATTAAATTTTGAACAATCTCAATAATATAATTATCAAATCTGCTTTGTGAATCGGTCTAATTTATTAGAACAGAATACGTAAAGTAAATTTTAAAGGTTTGAACAAATAATCCAAACAAGCTGACTAATAAACAAACAATCAAAACATTGAATTTTCTCAGTTTTTTGCTAGTAACTCTCTACAACTATATCCGCAAAAAAACTAAAGAAAAAAAATATTAGTTAATAATAAAGTTGGTATCTCACAATTTTTACTACTACATGACATATACAATACTGGCGTATTGAAAACAATCTATTTTCAATGGAAACTTACCGAATAAATTAATATAAGTAAAATAGAAGAATTTCAGTAGAAAAAATATAAAAATATTACGTAAAATAACAAATTAAATAAAAAAGTTTCTGAAATAGTATAAGAAATATATGACTAAATCAAAAGAGAAAATAACAATGGAATAACAACATTGTATAAATGGATACTCTTAAGGTTAAAACAAGATAAATATTCTTTAAAAAAAAATGTTGCTAAATATGCTTTATGTAAGACAGTGAAAATGTCTCGGAACGTGACAAGTACAAGAAATTAACCATGAAAAATAAATGAAAATAGTTATGAAAATGTAATAAAAACGTAGTTTTTAACTGAACGTAAAGGAAGAACTATCCAATGACAAAATAGGTATAGCTGCTATCAATATTACAGGTGTTATTCCTGAAGAAGCCATCTTGGTTCAGCCAATAAACTGATTTGATTTTGTTGTTTAAAAAAAGTTTTATGAACTTCGGGAAGTGCTTGGTTCGTAATTGCATCTTTTTGCTTACATTATCTTTTTATCACATTTTTTTATTGGTCAAAATGTAGGAGAGATACGTGAAAATAATTTACATTAAGTTTAGCTTTAAACTCGAAAAAAGTTATGGAGAAACTATGTTGAGAAAGTAGAGTACATAAAAGAATGGTTTAATTGATTTAAAAATACGTTCACGTCTCTTGACAGTAGCCAGCGACCTTCCAGTACAACATCGGAAAATATCGAACGTGAGACACCAGATTTAAAAAATTATCGTTGGACTGTGAAGAATTGAAAGCTATTCCGAAAACGTCTGTTTCGAAAATAGGACAAAATTTAAGAATGGCTTGTGTGGGTTTATAAAAAGCGCAGTAGAATCAAGAAATTTACTTTTTTTTTGTTAAATCATCGTTTATTATCTGAACCAAGATATAAGGTAGTTACTTCGTTCATCCATATAGAATGGACTAAGTAAAACCAGAGTTACGCACTACGATTAAATCCCTGTCCGTGAATTTACTGGGTCTTTAGCAAAAATTCTGATCAGAGATACCTCATCGAATTAAATACTGACCTGGCTTCTCAGCTTAGTGATGTTGGCGCCTCCCTTGCCAATTATTGAACCGGCAACCTGAAACAGAAAGTACTCAGATCTCGTGTTTTGTGTTCAGTTAAGTTATAACGAATTTGGAAATTTATAATCGAAATAGGGTTGAATTCAGTAGTATTGTTTACATGTTTAGAATATATTGATATATGGACCTTAAAATTAACTTTTTGGTAGATATTTTCATTCATATTTAATTCAAATTAATTAAGATTATTGATTAATGAACTACGCTTTATAGTCTGAAATTATTTTTTCCTGGCATCTACATACTTTCTTTACACATTTCTCGAATAATTAGTGTTTTGTCTTTGCCAGTGCCATTAACTTGGAAAAAAGACTGCACATTTATTTTTTTTTCAAGCACGAATGTAGTAAGACCGTCATAGTAGTACTCATAACCTTAACTTGTGTTACAAACCATAGCATACCAATTTTATACTTTGCTAGCTCGTCGTATACATACATTCCAGTTGTATTTAAAATCGCAATTTCGAACTGGTCCCACAAAAACTTGTGTGCATGTCCGATGTATGGGACGTGATTATCAGTTATACCTTTGTTAACAAAACTTTGCAGATATTGGTTTTTAAAGCCATGAATACCCCATTCATGAAGCACAATTCTGAACAGATGCTAATCACGGTCTCTTTATTCTATTCATTCGGAAAATGTGATCAGAACTCAATTGAGTTGAAATAGTAGGAATTTTTAGTGAGTTTTCGCGAACTGAATAGGTTTTTATGAATATCGAATTGATAATAACAGCAATTCGATCGATTCATGTAGAGTTAAAACACGACCTGAAATATAAAAATATAAAGAAGCATTTTAGGTAATTTTAAAGATAATATTTTTGTATAAGAACATGAAAGATTGATACAAAAAGGCAGACTTCAGAAGGAAAGTGTTTAGTCGAAAGAACCAATTTCCCAATATTTATTAAGAGAATAAAATTTTAACAACAAAAGATTTTAGTCTTTTGTATCCAAGAGAACGATAAATACTAGTATTAATACGAAAATGATGTAAAACTGAGCTGGATGAAATACACTGGTAACCTATTACACAGAACAGTTTGGCAAATCTAGTGAGTCAGTAACACTAAATGGAATGTCCAAAATGTCAAGCTATCAGTTGCAAGGAAGAAAATATAAAGGTAAAAACACTTCGAAAAGTTAGCCATTAGACTTAACAGGACAGGTTGGCTGAAACATTTTCTAGTGGTACAAAAATAAAATTACTATTCCATTTTTATGGGTACAATTATTTGTATTGTTTCCTGACGTTTCGATTTCCATCCTGGAAATGGTTTTCAAAAATGTATTAAAAGATAAGGAGTTAATGTTAAGGATCATTTTTGAATATATATATATATATATATATATATATATATATATATATATATATATATATATATATATATATATATATATATATATATATATATATATATATATATATATATATAAGCGAGGTTCCTACAGCCTCTGCGGCCTCTCGCATTTCGACCGCCATCGTTTTCTGTCCATCCATTCGTCTTCTTTGATGGCTCTATCTCTCATTATGTGTCGTACACTTTCTTCCCAGGCAACTGAAGGCCTTCCCCTTCTTCTTCTTTGTTGTGGTATGTAATTTAAAGCTTTCTTTGACCATATATCTTCACTCATTCGCTTTACGTGACCGTACCACACTAGTTGTCTCGTTTCAATTCTGTCTACACTGGTAACAGTATTTGTCCTCCTTCTGATATCTTCATTCCTGATATGATCTTCTTTGGATACACCACATGCTCTCTTTAGAAAATCCATTTCTACTACTTCTATTCTTTTTCTATCTTTTTTCGTGATCTGCCAAACTTCTGCCCCATAAGTCAGAATAGGCTCTACTAAGGTTCGATAGATTGTCAATTTCGTTTCTTGTTTGTTGAAAATACTCTTTTAAAAACGATTTCCGGAATGAAATCACAATGCTTTTTTAACCTTGGTCAAAATTTAATCTTTACGTTTGTGTTCACTAAAGTGGTATTTAGAAAGTTATTCCATGTAAAAGTATTCCACAAAAGAATTTACCGGAAAGGCGAGGAACAAATTGCGCCCAATGAACGCCATTGGTACGAGGGAAGCTTTATTTAGCGTGCAGGTATTGTTTCAGAAATGTAGATGTCAGCTGTAATGTTTTTGCATGCCTGATTGACTACAAGAAGTCTTTCGATAGAGTCCGGCATGAAAAAATGATGGAAGTGCTGAAGAGGACAGGGATTGGATAACTTCCAATACAAATCCTGTATTGGAATCAATCAGCGGTGCTCCGAATAGATGGAGAATATACAGATCAGGTCAAAATCTTAAGGGGAGTGAGACAGGGGTGCATAATTTCACCACTGATATTCAATTTGTACTCGGAGCACATTTTGAAGAGGCTCTAAAAGATATTGATGAAGGCATGTCAATAAATGGAGTCAAGCTCAATAACCTGCGGTATGAAGATAATACAATAGTATTTTCCAATGCCATAGAAGGGCTGCAAAACTTAATGAACAAAATAACGGAAACCAGTAGAACATATGAACTGGATATAAACACAGTACAACTACTTTGGAACTATAATCAATGAGTCACAAATGCGACAAAATCACCAATGAAGAAGTACTGCGGAGGATGAACATAATTATCGTAAGGGTCGTAAGCTGCAGTACTTGGGACATATAATGAGAAATCAAGGCAGATACGAGCTCCTCTAATGCATTTTCCACGGTAAAATTGAAGAAAAAAGGGCCCCAGGACCAAGAATATCTTGGCTTGCTAACCTGATACCATGGTGTAGCAAGACCTTAACACAGCTATTCCTTATAGCATCCAATAAAGTCATCACAGCCAGAATGATCGTCAAATATCGGAACGGACAGGCACCCTAAGAAGAAGATTCCATGTAAATGCACTTATGATGGACTTGTTAGTACGAAAACTTCTGTTATATGTAATGTAGCCTGAAAGTGTCTTTTTAATTATATACTAATTATAAAGGATTTTTAAATAAAACATTTGCGATTTATGTGTATTTAGTGTACAGCAACTACAGAACTTTTATTTTTCATGTGGATTGTATTATTTTGTCTGGGGTCTGGGATGTTTTTGGATTATCGACTTGATTTTTACTTGTAATGTACTTATAAGAGTCTCGGCATTTAAAGCCAATTTTAATGAGTCATTAAAGCAGGTACCTCTTTTAATGAAATTCTGAAAATTTTCAATTTTGTTAACCGCGGTAATCCCGAATGTCATGTCAACTTCATAAATAATATCGATTTCACTGCACTTTTCATTATTTTTTACCCTTTCCTATCTACCCTGCGTGACCCTCTTTGGGGAAATCAACATGTTTATCAGGAAACTGCAAGAATATGCCGTGAATCAGAAATGTAACGATCTGAAGACACGGAATATTTCGAGAGAGCAGGGTTTGTGTTGTCGTGAAAAACCAATCCGTTTTCAATCGGCGCCAAAAATGTGCAACGTTAATAATTGGACTTACTTTAACTGGTTGTCGAAAACAAATCTTTTAGTGTTACAGTGGATGATCAAAAAAATTAGAAACACCTGACAAAATTTAATTAGTTATTTATACTCGAGACACGACAAGAAATTACGTAGGATGACTCATAAATGTATCTTGATATACTAATTGTACAAGTCACATACGCCGTTTACTAACAAGACAATTAAAATAATATGGGTTCAATACATTTTGATAGCTTCCGTACATTTTAATGGGTAATATTTAAAATACGTTTTAGCAACTAAATTCAAATTTGGTTAGCACACTTTATCAAAATTCTTAATTATTTACTCTCTGTCATTGACGATTCATGAATGCATCTTAAAAGTATTATCTACATCGAAATTTGAATTTTTTGAGACATTTATTTTGGAAAATAACCGTTTTTTAAATAATTTGTTTAGATAATTAAATGTCAAATAACAAATATAACAATTATATTTATCATTAACATATTATTTAGAAAAAATTTAAAAAATTCGTTCTTAACCGTTATGGATAATAGAATTGATGAGTAAGAATGAATTCTGTCTCCGGCTTCTATACACCATGTAGCTTCGCCTATCTTCAAAAATTTTTGTGTTTGTCTTTGTGTAGTGTATTGTTATGTCCCATTTTATATTTATGACATTCTACTCTTGTCGGATAGGCCGCAATTGACGAAATGCCCCTGAAGATGATCTAGTGATAGAAAGTACTTGGGATAGATTAAATCAATACTGTGCTCAATATCTGACTTGTATATTATCGAATAAAGTTCATTTATTCGAGCATTCAACCTTATATCAATTACCTTTTTAATTACAGCTGGGATTCCTGGGAATACATCGAGTCTTCTGACTGGTTGGCACCGACCCATACTATTACTGGTTCAATAATATTTTCCATTATCCTATCCAACATTTTCACTTCTATTTTCAATACATGGGCAATAGCGTTCTTCCAATTTGTAGCATGTATGCAATCTGTACTTCTTTATAATGGGCGCTGAACATCGCCAATTTTAAATAGTACGTTCTCTCGGGCAACATATCCCTTCATTTGAGCACAAATTAATTCAATTGAACTCAACTCGCAATGTTAAGGTGGAAGTCTCAAAACAGTAATACCATGAAGTCTAGAATCAACAGCATATCGATATCTACCGCGTTGCTCCTTGATTATTCTCTTCTTCAAGTTCATCTCCTATCGGAGATTGGAAATCATTCTGGCAATTATAATTTTATTGGTTACTCGCCTGAATAGTTCAATTGAACTGCATCCAAACCATTCACGGAGGTTGCGTAGCCACGAGATTTTAGTAGTCTTCCTACGCTTCTTCTACCTTTGATTTTACCCTGCATTATATTCCTTAGTAGTTCGTACTTTTCACCTCTCATGATGTGCCCCAAGTATTCCAATTTTGGAATTTAAAACTTCGCATTGTTTTCCTAGTTGTTCGAGAACTTGTTCGTTTGTTTTGCGATCCATCCATGATATTTTCAAAATACGTCGGTAACACCACATTTCGAATGCTTCTAGGTTTTTAATGTTGGACTTTTTAAGTGTCCAAGCTTCAACTCCATACAAAAGGGTAGAGAAAATATAACATCGAAGCATTCTTATCTGGAGTGATATATTGATATCGCGATTAAAAAAAAGTTTTCTCATTCTATTAAAAGTTGACCGCGCAATTTCAATGCGGCATCTTATTTCTTTTGTCTGATCAGTATCTTCTGTGATCCGTGCTCCAAGGTATTTGTACGAAGATATTTGTTCAATTTCTGTATTATCTAGTACTAGCTTAACTTAACTTAACTGATTATTCTCGTTAGTTCTATTTTGACCATATCCTCTGTATATGAAATACATTTTTCTCGTAGCCAGTAACGCATGATGGACTTTCTATCAGTCATAGTTGTAATGCGTTTAACAAACAAGGTGGCTGTGATAGAGTTACTATCTATACGCTGGATAATGTTCTCGAGCCACTTCTAGACGAATATGGAGTTCATGTTTTCACGATAGTCTGCCGTTTTCTTCGATATAAAAACAAGGGCACCATTTTGCAGAAAACCAGTATCGCTGATAATGTGGGCGACAATTGGATGCTGGCGCTTACCTGACGGTGCTCACAATCCTGCCGAGAAACCTTCAATAAAGGCTTGTCATGTATTTATTATTGTATATTGCCCAACTTTGCGTAATGTATGTCCGGCGTTAATTATGTCTCGTCGAGAGGTATTCTTCGTTTTACCACACGACATTATCGAATTTAGATAATATTCGTCGCCATATTATTTCCTCCTTACCTTAAAATGGAAGTCCGACATCATTTTATTATGTCGAAAGTTCATTTTATGAAAATTTTCGCATCGATCGATTTCGCATACTTTAGTTAATATAGATTTTAGAGAAGAAAAATAAATGTCACTTTAAAAAAGAACAACTTCCGTTTAAAGTAGTGTTTTTTAATCCATCATACACCATCCAGATAATTCGCTCCTCATAAAACGGGTCCATGATGTCGTGAACTTATACCACTGGTTATATCAAATTTTTATTCTACGAAAAACTGATCTCACAAATCGTCTTACTTTAACCTAATATTTTGTCTGCCTTGTACAATAAAAAACTAACAAATTGAGTACGAAAACCGTTAAAACGGAAAATTTATTGAAAAAGTCCTTTATAAAAGGTATAATATAAGATGTTAACACAAATACCCGATATTATTTATAACAACAACGATAAACACTGATTGCAAAAACTGATCGCATGTTTTAAATAATATTTTTGCCGATGAATCATTTGCCGGCTAGGCAGTTTAATTTTCAATAATCAACAAAAATGTAATTTAGTATGATAGATAATAACTATCAGTTTGATGGTAATAGGACCTTCGCCACCGCAGTAAATATTCCTTGTTGATAACATGAATCATTTTTCAATGATATGTGTAGACTTGAGAAATTGAATCCGGTGTAAAAGCTTTAATCGAAGGAAGTCACGTAGATAATGTTCCCATAATAGTAGGGCCGGCTCCACACATGGGATCCAACGTTGGGTCAACTGTTCCGTGAGGCTGAATCATCCACACTTTGGGTTGAGTATTGGGGTGATATCAGTCTGTGGCGCCAATCCCTTTGATGTGTACGCAAAAACCGACAGCATACGGAAAACTCCCAATGTTGGAGCAAGTCATAAAAACGTTGGCGCCAACATTGGCTCCAACACAACGCTGTTGGGGTCAACTTTGGCCCCAATGTGTGGAGCCGGCTTAAGACAACACTTGAGTAATTAAGAAAATCACAAATGCACGTAAACAGACATCATGACGGAATTAATTTCTGATAAAGTAATTTAATTCTACCAAAAAAAATTAAGAAATAATGACAACGCCGGAATTGTGGAATTTTCCAACAGTTGATATTTAGTGCTATACCCATGAATCACCCTTCCCAAAAAATTGTCATGAATTATTAGGGGTACAAAATAAATATCAAAGTTCATTTTCTTTTTCTATAAGTTTATCAAACTTTTAAACAACAATCAATAAACTGACGATAAATACTGTTGACGATAAACAAATTATATTCACAAAATGTCTTGCTAGAAAATTAGAATATTTGGGGACCTTTGAGATTAAGGTTTTTTTAAATTAAGGTACGTTTTGACATAACTCTCACATAGAAGTTTGTTATTTACTGTTTGCAAAATTTTGCTACTATTCTCGATTTGGAAATACATAAGAGCATAGTATTGATGACAGAAGATTGCAACGGTATTTATACAGGACTGTCTAAAACAGAAAAATTATAAATATCGATACTTTCTTGTCGAGTTTTGTACCATTGATAAAAATATGACCACTTCGCCAACCTTCAAATACAATTGTTTAATTTTATTCGTTTTATCCGTTTAATTCTACCAACAATACAACATTAGAAGCAAATGAGCTGTGCAAATAATGTGTTCATTTTCATTCTTGCAGCTACTTCGTCTGATATACCGAATTCTAGATCTAAGTATATATAAAATATGAAGTTATCACTTACCGTATTGGGAATAAGTAAACGAACTTCCTCATCGCCTCTACGTGATCTTTTTTGCGGGGACTCCATGTCACCGTCAGCTCCACGCTTCATGGCTAATATGCCTGAAAAGAAAATATGAAAAATGATATTATTTATGTTATTAAAGATTGTAAACAAAAATTTCGTGTCTATTAAGGTAATACTATCGGAGTTTTAGAAACAATCAGTTAAGAACGACATTAAATAAAAACTTTGTTCAATTTTGATTAAATATAATAAGTAGGTACGTCAATCAGCAATAGGAAAGCATGCTGATAGGACGGTAGTTTTTTATATCTGTTATGTCTCCTTGCTTGTGTAATAAAGTAATGACTGCATTATTCCATTGAGGTGGAGTTTCTCCATAAGATCACCATTCCGTCATCGCCAGTGATTTGTTAGTTTTCATTTCTAAAAGTGCCGATTTGATTTCGTATGGAGTTATTTCTGGCATTAATTCTGATCCCTGGTTTGTGATTTTAGGCAGGGGCTGCCTAAAATCACAAACATTTGTGCTCTGTGCTCTCATACATTTCACGATAAAAGGACCCGACAATCTCAAGGATTTTGGATCTATAATGTTTCCATCTTTATTTTTTTATTTTGTACATCTTTTTGTTGACTATGTTGTTTGTATTTCGCCTCAAAACTTTTAACCTTTTGTTTTCTTGAATTATCTTAGTTATTTCTTTTGTATTGTTTTCTCTTTCGTCTTTTCGGATTGACCAGTGGATACCTTTATTTAATTTCTTCATTGTTGTGTAGTTGGAGCCGTATTTTTCCGTCAGCTATCTTCTTTTAACTATTAGCTCTTTGGTATTTTGGCAAAGTTTTTCTTTATGGGTCAGACCGGTCGGGCTCCATTTCCGTATCTTTTAGAGCCTTCATTATGCCATCATTTGCTTGATCTACATCTTCTATTTCGGCTTGCAAGTCTTGTATTATGTCTGGTTAGTGTATCTTCATATAGGTCATTGTTTTCTGGGGGACTTCATTTCTTTTTTCTTGTTTTTAAGATCATCTTTGTTCTTTTCAATTTGACATTTAATAGTATCTTAGCTCGGATTAATCTGTGGTCGCTTTCTATTGAAAATTTGTTAAGTATTACGATGTCTTTGATTATTTCTTTTCGGTTTGTTATAATATAATCTATTTCATTTTTGATACTGCCGTCTGGGCTGATCCATGTCCATTTACGCTGAGGCTGTTTATCGAAAAAACCTATTCCACCATTGAAGTGTCTTCTTCACCTCTAAAATGAAATACGTGTCCTGATTTCAGAGTAATTTGGGCTTCTCTTCGTATTATTTCACTGAGTCCGATGATGTCCCATTTTATGTTTTTCAGTCCTTCCTCCAGTTTCATCATCTTCTGGTCTGATACAAGAGTTCTAACATTGTATGACGTAATATGAATTTGTCGCTCTTTATAGTAGCCTAATTTTTTCCGGGGATTCTTATCACCCTATGCTCCAAAATGTTCCAACCGCTACCTTGGTTGGGGGGTGTTGGAGCTGCCGGAGACGGGGGGCCGTTCAGTAGTTTCGCCTTTCATGGAAAATAACTTTGGGGGTTTTAAGCCATTAAAACGCCACGCTTGGCTAGTGCGTATTGGCGAGTTGGTTTGAAAGTGGGGCGAGGAAATGTGGGTTGAGAATGTGAGGAAATGTGGGTTGGGAATGCTTTGGGCTTGGACGTTGTTTTCCCCAAGGATGGAGGCTGCGGGGATCGCAGAGTAGTATCCACCCGCTACCCGCCTTCATATGAAATGGTTGTATTATAAATTTAAATTAGTTTTATACATTAATATTTATTGAAGTTTATCTGTACATAATTTGGAGCGCATTTAACTTGGCTAAGTTATTTTAAAGCTTGTTAAAAACCTCTATTTTAAAATTCCAAAATAAAAATAGTAATAAGCGGAATATTAATGACACAATCACGTTTTTCTAATTATACACATTGATTCTTATTGAAAACTTGATATAAACAATTGGTACAGCATCTAGAAAATATTTCAAGGAGACTGACATCATGTATGATCTTTGAATGTATGTTAGTTCCACGTAACAACAATTATTGATAGCACCCCATTCTCAATGCCACTTTTTAATGAATTCAATTAATGCACGGATTGTTAGATCATCAAGAAAGTATTGAACTCATTGCGAGAACCTTCAACTGTAAAAAACGTTAATAGCCAGAAAGAATTTTTGATTTTTTGCTTCTTTAGTTATGAAATTTTTATTTGAAGACACTGACACTGTTCATTAAATATAGCCTCGTAATCTTTATGTCTTAATTAAAGTATTTACTATCCTTTGATTGTTTCATTTTGATTTTTATTAGCGAGTGAGTCGGATCGGTGGTTAAAAATTATTAGGTATATCAAGAAAAATTTATCTAAAACAGTTTTTCTTTTTTAATTATTTCATAAAATGAGAAATCTTTGATTATATCTAAATAGCGCAAGAGCGATAAATTGGCAGTCCTCAGTACAAAACACCTAAAGGTAGTTTAGATGTGGTTATACCGGAAAATATTTACAAGAAAATCAAAATAACCCCCACGCACTTTTTCAGGTCTACAGGTAATATATTCAATACTTTATAAAAACTCTACCCATCATTTATGAGGAAATAAAAACTAGATTACGCAGAGGTGTAATTTACAAGTACTTCGAAGGACAAGTTTCTAAGCACCGGTTGTAAGAAATAACCAACCCACACAGTAATGAATATCAATTGCGAAATCAACGATTGTTTGTGAAACCAACTTCAAGATCACCAATTGAATACACTGAAATTGTTATAATTTAATTCATAATACATGCTATCAAAAAAAGTGATGTTGACTAAAAAAACACACAATGAGAATGTTGTTTTTCATGACGACAATAGACAAATCGCGTTTTTTCCAATACCATTATTTATACAATCAAACGAGGTGTTAATTTTGACATATTGTGAAAATAACTAATTAAGACCTCTAAAGTTTCGTATTTTTTGTCCACTAAAAAATGGTTCTACAGAAGGGTAAAAGTACTTCCAAAATTGCACCGTCTGTGTTAGACCAAGTAGTGAACATATAAGAGGTGACTCATCAAAAGGTACTACAGATCTTTGAACAAATATGAGGTTTCCAATAGTAAACAAATTAAATCGAGTACAAGTACATAATATATGGTAAAAAGCTTATATTCATCAGGTGTTTTTTTTTCTTAACTGAATAACAAAGTAATGACATATATTTAAAAACATTCCGTAGCGCACATTCCGAGATTTTTCAGCCTTAGCATTATTTTCTACTTTAGGAAAGACGAATTACCAAGGAATTCGTTAAACGCAGATATTGCACAAAAGCATACAATATCGTGTTTAAAAGTGTTTGCAAACATACTTACAAGGTGCAATAAAACAATGCATTATTTTGAAGATACAAAGTAGGAGGTTTTGTGCATATTCAACAGAAAAAAAATTGTTAAGTAAATTGAAAACGTGATACTTCATTTCAAGTTTTTCCGTAAAATGTTAAAATGAGCCACCAGCAACAAGAAATCGAAATTTGTCAGAATCTGATCTGCATTAGAATCGTTACTATTCGCGAAGAAGGATGCACTCAAGTTATACTTACTGAACAGTTTAAATGTTACTCAGTCAACAATTTTAAGAGTTTTAACACGTTGTGCAGTCACTGCGGGAAGTACCTACGTTAGTCAACCCAATAGAACATGTTCGGCGTTTGGGATATCGTAAGACAACTACTGTGGGAAAAAATTGACTATTTTCATATTTTACATTTTTTATTACATTTTTTATCCTTAAAATCTTAAGATCTTTAAAAATTTTCCATTTTGTCTTTTTTTCTGATGTCAATTCAATACATTTCTCGTAAAAAAAACCATATTTTATAAATATGAAAATGTATTTTGGTGTGGAATTTAAAATATCCATCTACTATAGCTGCAGTTGAAATAATAAATCTTCAACGTAATTTAGGTGAACTTCAACGGTACAAATAATAGCTGCTTCTCTACTGCTAAATAGACGATTTCTTGCCACAGCTTGCCTAAATTCGAGGCCGGTTCTGAATTGAGTAGAAATGTTTTACTAACAGTTCGAAATGTAGAGACTTACGGACTAAGAGTCAAGACAATACTTAATGAAATATTATTAAAGGCCAACATTGTATCAATGCTTACCATTGGACGTAGAGGTTCTAGATATACACTCATATACACTGAACTATTGATAAATGGAAACAAGTTCCTCTTTCGAATGAAACATTAATTAGTTTGAAGTCATCTGACGTCAGCGGGTTTTAAGAAGACGAGACAAATTTACTGATCGAAAATATCTCGTTACGAGTTTCACTTGGTGGTTAATTTCCACTAACGTTTCCAGGGAGAAATTATTTAAGAAGTTTGCACGGAGTTTATTCCCAGGAGAACAATGAATGCATTTTTTTATATAGAAAATGTTGTACAAGGCACGTTATGCCGTTTGCTCCATTTATCGTCGACAACTTCCTCTTTATGCAAGATATCACTCTATTACACATCGCTGTACAAGAGCAGCAGATTTTATTTATATTTAAATGTCCTTTTTGGCTAAAATTACTTTCTACTATTAACATTTAAGGTGAAACAATTTCAACATATTAATTTGAACGTACTAGTTTTAGCAAATCAAGATGTTTTTTTCTATTAAGTTGACGAAAATACGGAGTTTTGAAAGATTTTACTTTAAAAAGCAATTAAAGTTTTTAAATGAACTGTTGAAGAAATAATGTAACCATTTTTCCTTCATCAAGTAAAGAAGTTACCTAACTAATGGAATAATAATAATAATGTTCTTTCTTTGGTATGAAACCGTCAGAAATAGCAAACCTTTGTCTTAAATTTACCTTCAATTTAGAGCAATTATGAATGTTTGTATTTGTTTCTATAACTGAAAGTTTTGAGTACAAGTTGTTTCTTTCTACGTCGAAAAAATACAAAGAGAAAACATTTTATATAACAGTAAATTTTCATGCTTGAATGATATTTGCTAATTTACCTCTGGTAATAGGTACTTAACTAATCAATTGTTAATTGAA